AAGTGACCCTAGCACCCTAGCCGCAGAAAGTGGCAAGCCTAGGCAGGGGCATTACATACAAAACAGAAGACAGTGAATAATGGCTAAAGGCCTGGCTCCTGAAGCCAGATTGGGTTAAAATCGCACTCTACCACCAGTGAGGTGTGTGACTTTGAGCAGGTCACTCCTAACCTCTCTGTGCTTCAGCTGGCTCCTTTGTAAACGAGGGTCTAACAGCGCCTACCACACGGGTCCGGGAGGAGTAAATGGAACAATCCAACCCTTAGCATAGCCAACGCTCCCTGAGCAGCATGCTCTTATTAGCTCTGGTACTTGGCTCACTCACTCATGGCTTCACCTCAGCCAAGTCCTTTCTGCTCTTGAGGCCTCAGTTTTCCCATCCTCATGCCTCCAGTACAAGAGGGAAGAGGAAAGAGAGTTAACATTTGCTGGGCACCTACGCAGAGGAGGAGAGAGGTCTCTATTGCTACCCAAGATCCAGCAGCGAGAAGCAGGGGCCGCCAGACTCACATTCAGCTGGATCTGGTTCCAAATTCACTCACCGAGCTGCTTTTCCTCCAGAGTTCCCTGGAAAAAGCCCTCGGAGAATTTTCTAGATTAAAGCCATACCCTTTGAAACTCAAATTTCAAGAGACAAGGGATCCCCAAGCAGTGATCTCCTGGGCAGCTGAAGCCCCAGGAAGACACTTGCTAACCCGCACTCGGGGCGGCGATGCTCTTTTCACGTTCTGATAAAACCACAACCGCCACCCTCAGCTCCAACTCGCACAGCCGACCCGGCTGCAAGATCAAGGCCTTCCCAGCTGTGCCACACCGGCTTAGGCCCAGGCCGCGCAGGGTGTGGGCATCCCGCGCGGAGAGAGGACTAACCAACGTACCCCAAGCGAGGCGTCCCAGCCCGACTGGCGCGGCGGGAGGCAGACGCTTCTGGCCCCAGTCTCAGCAAAGGCTCCTGGACGTCTTTTCCAAGCTCCTCTCCACAGCCGCTCTGTCTCCTCGCCGGGAGAGTCCGCTGCGGCTGATTTGTTCCGCAGGGTCCCAAGGCTATTAAGGGGCAACCAGTGACACCGGGGAGAGGGCTCCAAGAGGCATGGACTTGCGAAGCGGATACCAAGATATTGGAGGCACCTGGAGACCCAAGGCGGCGGGAACCAGCAAACAGGGCAGGATTCCCCCTGAAAAAAGAGAGGTGTCGTAAGAATGCGATGTTGGCGGAGCAGTCCCGGGGCAAGGACAAGAAACAGACTCGGGCCCTCCTGCCCCGGAGCCCCCTGGGTGTCCGGCTCCGCGCCCCGCGCTACCTGGGCGGCCGCTGGAGGCCCGCGGCGCGGCTCTGCGCTGCCGGCCCGAGCGGAGCGCGCACAATGAGGCGCTTTCAGACGTGGCTGCGGTCCCGGCGGGCGGGGGCCGGAGCGGGAGGGAAGGAAGGAAAAAGCCGGTTGGCCCCCGGCTCCGGCTACCCTGCCCACCTCGGGCGGAGGGGCCACGCCTCGGGGGAGGGGCGGCCGTCCAGCGGCGGGGGCGGGCGAGCCCCGGGGAAGGAGGGCACAGGTGGGCCCGGGGGGCTGCCGGGGGCGCCCGGCTTGGCCAGGGATGTCAGAGGGCGCTCGCAGAGTCAGCTCTCATCCCACTAATTGACCAAAAAGTTGTCTTCCCCCTCCAATCCCCAGAGAAGGGAGGCTACTGGAAACACAAAAGGCCCTTGTGAAGGAAATCGAATCTTAATTTTGCCCCTCCTCCCTCTCGGTGGCATCCTCACAGCGAAAGGACTTGGAATCCAAACCGCTTCCCAAGCCCCCAGCCTCAGCCCTAAACCAAGCCCCAGGCACCTTGATGCCAGGCGGATCCGCGCGGCCTCCCCGGGTAGTAGCCGAGCTGGGGGCCGGGACACCAGGTGGCCCTCAGGAGCTAGGCCTGCAGCTGGCTGTGCCCCTCTTTCTGTCCCCTCCCTGCTCTAGCCTCAACTTGATAGCAGGTCCCGATAAATACAGGGTATGTTTCAATAAATAAAGATGCTATTTCCTCCTACAAATAACGGAGCAGAGTCCAAGCACCTGAAAAAGAAAGAGAATTCTGACCTCTTGTAATCGCTGTGGGATCTAAAAGAAATCTCTGCCGCTGGAAGTATAAATTAGTGCATTCTTTCCAGGATGCGGTTTGGCAAGATGAATCAAAATCCTTATGAACGGGCTTCCCTGGTGGTGCGGTGGTTAAGAATCCGCCTGCCAATGCAGGGGACATGAGTTCGAGCCCTGGTCAGGGAAGAGCCCACATGCTGCGGAGCAACTAAGCCCCTGGGCCACAACTACTGAGCCTGTATTCTAGAGCCGGCAAGCCACAACTACTGAAGTCCGCGCATCTAGAGCCCATGCTCCGCAACAAGAGAAGCCACCGCAATGAGAAGCCCGAGCACCGCAACAAAGAGTAGCCCCCCATTCACCACAAGGAGACCCGCACAGCAACAAAGACCTAACACAGCCAAAAATAAATACATAAAGTAAATATATTAAAAAAAAATCCTTGAGAACATCATAAGCTTTTGAATTCATAATTTCTTTCTAGGATCTGAAGAAAATAAACTAGCAAAAAGGATTTATAAGCAAGGTTCATAGATGTGTTGTTTATGATAGCAAAAAATATTAGAAACAAAAGATTAAAAAGATGTGTATCAGAAAGCCAACAGTGATAACTTCTAGGGAGCAATTTACAGACAACTTACTTTCTTTAGGTTTCTGTAATTACACATTTCCCCCAATAGGCATTTAGAACTTATGTGGTCACAAAGAACCAAAACTTCTTTTACAAAGCATGAACATGAAGAGAAAGAAAGAAAGCTTTATTAATTGCTTTATCAACCTTACATGATGGGACCTCACCTGATTCAAACAGAAACTGGAAAATCATTTGGCAAAATAAGGGATTCCCCCCTGCCAAATATTGTCTCAAACCATGATGTAGTGATGGGTTACAGTCCAATTGATAATATCCTGTATATTTCCATTTTTCCCCTCTTTCAGCTATAAGGTGTGATTCAGGTTCAGAAGCTACCAACATCTGATCTGTAAATAATCTAATATTCACCAGACGCAGTTGTAATTTTCCAGCCTGTGGTTTCCACATGCCATGTGGATTTCACCAAAAATTCCCATTTACTTGGGCAGGGCCACAAGAGTTTTGCGAAGAGCTAACAAAAGCTCTAAGGTTTTGGGGCAGAGCCCTGGCAAAGCAAGGCTGCTGGTGAGTAACCCCAAGAAGTGTGCACAACCTCTGCCCTCCCCATCCTCCCCTTTCCAAATACTCTCCCTCTAAAAAGCCACATGCAACCTTCCAGTTTGAACATTTTAATTATAAAGTTACAAAACATCATGGTTCTTTATACACATTTTGCATGAAAATAATGTAATAAAATGCAAAGCCATGTTTGTACACATCTTCAGCTATCTTTCCATACTCATTACCTTTTGGTGATTCAAACCAGAAACCATTTTTTATTTAAATCTCAAGAAAAAAACTTTAGGCATATAAACAGCCCAAAATATTAAAAGAAAAAGCAGAGGGGTCAGTATTAGGATATTTTTGTGCTTGGATACTTCAAAACAGGTTTGTTTCCAAAACTCTTATTTTGGTCAGCCTGAATGAAAAGGTGCTTTGGAAATAAAAACTGAGTCTCCAGGGTAAACTGAGGCATGCACTCAGGACTGTGTGTGTGGATGGGAGTGAAGCGTGGATCACAGAGGGCATGTCCTTCCAGTGCCAGTGATATCTCGGTATCATAAAGCAGGTCCAGGTGTCCTTAGGGCGAGAATGGAGAATTCTCTGCAACAGAGGCCCATTCCAGCGGTCTCTTCGGCAGACACTCACTTAGTCATGATGGTTAATCTGGCTGGACTGCGTGTCATTCTGCTAAAGGCCAGGCCCGGATTGGGCTGCCTGGGCTAGCATCCTCTTTATCCCCTCCCTGCTCCTTGTGTGTCCTCTCCAAAGCGGCCCACTCTGATGGGCACCCTGTTCCTTAGTCGAGGGAAACACAAGTAGCTGGGCTTCCCGCTAGTCCTCCAAGTAAACTCTGTGGTTGTCAGGCAGTGGGAGCCAATACCAACAACAGCTCCTCTGTCACCCATGTCCTTTTCAAGAAGGGGGAGGACTGTCAAGGAGAAGGAGTGGCAAGCGTCCAGGGTGTTGGGTGAGGGCCAAAGAGAAAGAACCTGTTGTTACACTCCTTACTTCCCCCACTGTTGCTGAGGGGCTTGTGAAAGGAACAGCACTTCTGACTGCAGCCTGCTATTCCAGGGGCCCAGACAGAGGGCAAAGAGCCAGCCACAGCAGGGCAAGGATAAAGGGCTGTTCAGCTGAGCTACCGACAGATGACTGTCTGTTAGACTCGGGGCAGGTGGATGGATGGTCCTAGTGTCCTCAAGTCGCCCACCCTCCCGCACGTGCACACATGTGCTCTGGAGCGCTCCCTTTCTCACTCTCCAGATCTCCAGTTAAAGGCCTCTCAGTGCTTGAAATCAGTTCTGAATGGGAAATTTAGATGCCCAGGAGTGGAAAGTGCTGATGATTTGCATATCTATCCCCAGAGAGCTCTGAAAAGAGTAAAACGTGGTTTACAATAGGGGGAAGAAATACATAGCATGTTTCTCAGTTCAAGAGAGGAAAAGTCTTTGCTTGACCAGAGATGGGACTCTTTCCAAGCTCTCTGAACTGACTGTAGTTTTCTCCTGAAATTCAAGTCTGAGACAAAAAACAAAAGCAAATTATAGCCTTCAGGAACCCTCAGAAACATTTCCACAAACTAGTCCGTGATTATTTTTGTAGGCGCGTAGAAAATATAGAATTTGTGTAGAGGGAAATTAGAAAGGAATGTTCTTTGTCTCTGATAGGAAAAGCACACACGTGGGCAAGTTGGGCAACTGTCCACAGGCTCTTTTCAGAAATTTCGTAAGATGACAGTCCTCAGAAGACAACAGTGAGGTAGCTTAGAGTTTTCAGACAGGGTCTTAAGATAAATGCTCCTTATACAGTTCTCCCTGGGGCACTGCTCTTACAGGGACTGTGGTCACCACCTGATTTTGAAACACAAATCTTTTGATTCTTTCAAATACCCAGAGGAAGATAAGTAGGATACTGACATACTGGATCCAAGCAAACTTTATCATTTCCCAGAATCCTGGTAGATAAGTACAAACAGTTAAGGAATCACATATGACATTTTCTAAGGAAATGTTAAACCAAAGGGTTAGTTTAGACAGAAAATGGCAAAAATGTTTCAAATACCCTTAAGATAAAAGAGATAATAAAAGATTATTAAGATATAAATATGGATGATTCTGATCTAGAAGAATTACTCAAGAAGAAATATGAACAGGAAATGAATATTTTTTCCTGTATGAACTGCAGACAGACAGTCATTTGTGTGGGGGCTACAAATGCAGCAATTTCCAGTCTGAGGCTTCCCACATCTGTTCCTTCCTGGGACAACTGAGGAATCCTTTCCTTGTTTGAAACCCAGCTACTGTTGGCCCTTTAACAGAAAGGATATGAGATGACTTCCATGGGGTATCGGATGACAGCATTAATCACAAATGGAGCTTCTGCAGCCCTTCCCACCAGCCAGATGGGGTTGGGGTCAGTCAGGATGGTGGTTACTGCAACAAAATGGGGAGTTAATCCATGAACACTCTCTTCGGCAATAAAATATTGGGGGCTATAAAAATACTCTGACCTCTCAGGCAAATTCTGCACTTCAGAACTCATAGCAAAGAAATAACTCAAAAGGAAAGAGAAACTGGATGTTCAAAGTTACTCACATATTATTTGCTAAAATACTTGTTAAAATAAGTTAAAAACTTGGGAAGAGTCTGTGTTTTCTACAATTGTTGAATGGCTAAGCAAAAGAATACTATGCTACCTCTGAAAAGAAAACCAATTAGAGCTTTGTAGCAGTGTGGGAAAATATTTATATTACAAAGTACAAAAGAGAAGTTGGTTCATAAAGTGTCTCTAAACTATGATAGGAGCTGGGACTTCCCTTGTGGTCCAGTGGGGAGGACTCCGTGCTCCCAATGCAGGGGGCCTGGGTTAGATCCCTGGTCGGGGAACTAGATCCCACATGCATGCCGCAACTAAGAAGTCCGTATGCTGCAACTAAAAAAAAAAAAAAAAAAAAAGATCGTGCATGCAGCAACTAAGACCTGGTGCAGCCAAAATAAATAAATAATAAACTATGATAGAAGCTGTATAAAAAAATCTACACATGTACAAAGACTGGAAGGAATTAAGAAAGAAAAGTTGATTTGTAGATAAATGTTTCTGTGTTCTAAAATTCTTTATTTTTGGAATAATGCTGCTAGGGTATTACATAAAATCAGAAAGAAATACTGGAATTGCAGTCCCCTCACTTGTTAAATGTCTGTGTATAGTATCTATGATGTCTGGTTGCCAAGTAATGCTTTAGATGCCTTTAGAGAAAACCTCAGACCACCAACCAGCCAGATGTGCTGAGTCAAGCACACACTCAGGGACAGCCTAATAGCCCACCTCTTGAAAGGGATGGATACCCTCGGCCTTCCAGCTAGAACCTTGGGTGCTTTTTCCTACTGCAGCTGCTGACATGGGGTGAGTCATGCACAGTCCCTATTTCCATCTGAAAACTATGGACAGCAACTTGTCTTTGGCTTCTTTTACAGGTACGGTGTGGGGAGGAACTCACATATCTATATATATAAACCCATCAAGTCAGCGGTGGGATACATATGGCAGTCAATTGGCACTAAATTGCCGGACCATAGGAGCAGTGGAGGGGACGGTTAGCGTGTGGGTCTTTAGATCAGGAGAAAAAGGACAAACCCTGAGCAACCTGTTCACATTCCATAACTGAGCATTCACTGTTTTGTTTTTAATAAATAAATTTATTTATTTATTTATGGCTGCATTGGGTCTTCATTGCTGTGCAAGGGCTCTCTCTAGTTGCAGCGAGCAGGGGATATTCTCCGTTGCGGTGTGTGGGCTTCTCATTGTGGTGGCTTCTCTTGTTGCGGAGCACGGGCTCTAGGCGCGAGAGCTTCAGTAGTTGTGGCACGCAGGCTCAGTAGTTGTGGCTCGCGGGCTCTAGAGCGCAGGCTCAGTAGTTGTGGCTCACGGGCTTAGGTGCTCCGCCGCATGTGGGATCTTCCCAGATCAGGGCTCAAACCCATGTCCCCTGCATTTGCAGGCGGATCCTTAACCACTGCGCCACCAGGAAAGTCCCAAACATTCACTGGTTTTGATACTTTCATATGATGTGGGCTCTAATTCTGTTTCTCTCCAATAACGCCATTAACCTGCAAAATCCTTGAGAAGCAGCTGAATGAACTCTCCCCATGACTCACCGTTCCTTTCCTGATAGGCAGCAACAATGTGGGTGAGGTCGTAGTCATGGGCAAAAGGGCTGGTCCCATTGATTACAGATACCTGGGATTCAACAGGAGGATGTGATGTGAGAACCCAAGCGGCTTCCCTTCTTGCTTTTCTACCCTCCTGCCCACCCAGGCTGACCTCAGAGACAACCCTCTTGGGCTTGGTGGCCCATTCCAGTATTGATAATCTTTTCTTCAAGGATGAATGAACTCCTTTGCAACAATTTAAGTCATTTACTCTGTCTTTCTTTTTGCAGGGATGGAAACAAGGGGTCGATATCCACCTTTTACACCTTTTACATGTTAAAAGCTATTTATAAAATACCCCTTTCTATTCCAATGGGAGAAATGATTAATTTTTTTTAAGAGACCACATTTTCAACTCCTTTGTCTTTTTCTTGCTCTTGCCTGGATTCTCTCTAATTGATCTCTTTGAAATACAGAGATGGAAATAGGATAAAGTGCAAACAGTAAGCACATAATCCTTTGAAGAAAAGAAAGGTCTGCCCTCTAATATCATATTCCTGTTGACATAATGTAATATACAAACCTTCAAATAAAAAGTGCTACATTAAGTTTATATCTGATAGCCTCCTCCTTTTTAAAAAACGCACGTTGGGACTTCCTTGGTGGCGCAGTGGTTAAGAATCCACCTGCCGGGCTTCCCTGGTGGCGCAGTGGTTGAGAGTCTGCCTGCCAGTGCAGACGACACGGGTTCGAGCCCTGGTCTGGGAAGATCCCACATGCCATGGAGCAACTGGGCCCGTGAGCCACAATTACTGAGCCTGCGCGTCTGGAGCCTGTGCTCCGCAACAACAGAGGCCGCGATAGTGAGAGGCCTGCGCACCGCGATGAAGAGTGACCCCCACTTGCCACAACTAGAGAAAGCCCATGCACAGAAATGAAGACCCAACACCGCCATAAAAATAAATAAATAAATAAATACATTGTGTATTATTAAAAAAAAAAAAAAAAAAAAAACACCCCCCCTGCCAATGCAGGGGACATAGGTTCGAGCCCTGGTTCAGGACGATCCCACACACTGTGGAGCAGCTAAGCCTGTGTGCCACAACTACTGAGCCTGCGCTCTAGAGCCCGCGAGCCCCAACTACTGAAGCCCGTGTGCCTAGAGCCCATGCTCCACAACAAGAGAAGCCACAGCAATGAGAAGCCTGCGCACCGCAACGAAGAGTAGCCCCTGCTCACCGCAACTAGAGAAAGCTCGCATGCAGCAACAAAGACCCAAAGCAGCCAAATATAAATTGATTAAAACAAAACAAAACAAAAATGCATGTTGATTATAGCAAGGTGACCATAAATCCCAATTTATCTGGAACAGTCCTGGTTTATGCCTATAATAAATGATAACATCTCATATTCATTTTCTAAAGTAGCCCAGCCAGGGACTTCCCTGGTGGTCCAGTGGTTAAGACTCCGTGCTCCCAACGCAGGGGACCTGGGTTCTGGTCAGGGAACTAGATCTCGCATGCTGCAACTAAAAAAAAGATCCCACACACCACACCAAAGATCCCACACGTGGTAACAAAGATCCCTTGTGCTGCAACTAAGACCCGGTGCAGCCAAATAAATAAATATTAAAAAAAAAAAAAAAAAGTAGCCCAGCCCAACTTACACAGGCCTCCCTGTGATAATGTAAAGGTTAGTAAAGTGATCAGATGCATGAGTTCTGGCCTCAGAGAGACAATTCATGGCTCCGTTACTTTCAAGCTGTGGGACTTGGGAAAATTAATCAATCCCTGTAAGCTCCAGTTTCCTCATGTGTGAGATGAGAGTTCATTCTCACATCAACTCTGAGCGCTTACAATGTGGCAGGCACTGTTTCAAGCGCTGGGGTGAGAGAAGACAGAAGACAGCAGCGCTTTTACCACTGAGGGAGATGGCAAATGAACAAACTAAAAACCTCTCTTTAATATTTCAGGTTGAGGTAAGGGGAGTAAACCTGGGTGAGGAATGATGGAGGGACAGGTAAATGTTCTTTAGAAGGAGTGTCAGGGAAGGACTGTGCACAGGAGCTTTGAACAGGGACCAGAATGGGGCAATAGGATAAGCAACCTAGAAAGGAGCATAGGGGGACAATGACAGGACCAGCGGCTGGAGAGCAGGGAAGTTGCAAGAGAAGGCATCTCGTGAGGTTGCTGTAATGATTAAATGAGATAACACATTTAAACCTCTTAACTCAGGCTGGCATGTTATATGCTTAACAAATGGTGGTTAGTATTCTTTTTCTTTTCTTCTTCTTTTTTAAAAATAAATTTATGTATTTATTTATTTAGGCTGCATTGGGTCTTCGTTACTGCGCGCAGGCTTTCTCTAGTTGCCATGAGCAGGGGCTACTCTTCGTTGCGGTGTGCAGGCTTCTCATTGCGCTGGCTTCTCTTGTTGTGGAGTGCGGGCTTCAGTAGCTGTGGCACTCAGGCTCAGTAGTTGTGGCTCACGGGCTCTAGAGCGCAGGCTCGGTAGTTGTGGTGCACGGGCTTAGGTGCTTTGCGGCATGTGGGATCTTCCTGGACCAGGGCTCGAACCCGTGCCCCCTGCATTTGCAGGCGGACTCTCAACCACTGCCCCACCAGGGAAGTCCCAGTGTTCTTTTTCAAATGTTTTACATGAACTGAAAAAGAGCACCTGAAATAAATACACCGTGTGTGTGTGACCACGCGTGCGCGCACCCAAAAACTATAAGCAATTCAATTCTTAAAGACAAAGACATATTCTTTTCCTCTCTTTTTACATGCAAATACAGGGGTATCTGTCTCCATATTTTAAAAGAACTCATGGAAAGAATTCCTCAGAAATCCTTTTCTATGCTACCCACAAAGACATGCTATTTCCAACGTTCCTTTCTCCCTCTTCAAAGAACTTGACAAACAGTAACATACAGGGACTTCCCTGGCAGTCCAGTGGTTAAGACGCCATGCTTCCAATGCAGGGGGCACGGGTTCGATCCCTGGTCCAGGAACTAAGATCCCACATGCCGCGTGGTGCGGCCAAAAAAAAAACCCCAACACACACACGCACACACACACACACACACCACACACACACACACACACACACACACACCAGTAACAGAAAGAGAAGAGATGAACAGTAAGCAATATCCTTACATTGTACCGAACATCTAGGCCACCATGGCTTAGGGGCTGCTTCTGCTGCAGCCTCAGATCTCCGTTCACATATAATTGGGACCCCGGAACAGCAAAGGAGGATTGGAAGAACGCCATGCTCTGCATCACGAATGTCGACATCCTCTGAAATCATTAGAAGGAGAGACAGTATCAATTTCGGCCAGATCCAAGGGGCTCTGGGTTCTAAGTGTCACCTGTCTGTGGCTGAAGCCTAGCCATCCCTCCTATGCCTCACTCAGCCATGCAGGAAGCACTCTGCCCAGAACCCTCTGACCTATTAATAGCTCATGTAAATTAACATGACCTCAATGAAAAACATTCAAATTTTATTTCTGCAGTGAAATCCCAAAGGACACCTCTGAAAAGTCTTCTGCAGTGTGGGTTTTCCCAGAAATCAGAAAGGGGGCTCTGTTCTATTGAAAGACAAAAGGGAGAGGACTCACGTGCAGTTGGTAGGAGAAAGTCAAGATGAGCTGCACACCAAGAACATGCTCCGTGGACTGCAGGGGAAGCTCCAGTTTAAAATGTAACATGTCCATTTTCCCATCCTGGTTCCTGTCTTCTTCTCTAGTCTAGGAAAGCCAAAAGAGGCCAGTGATCCCGCTCCTTAATAAGTCTGGGAGGAATCCATCTCACCGTTGGACATACACAGTGACTCATAGTTCTGCCACACAGAGGCATTATCTTCCTCACCAGAAGAAAAGAGAAAAAGGGACTTCCCTGGTGGTGCAGTGCTTAAAAATCCACCTGTCAATGCAGGGAACACGGGTTCGAGTCCTGGACCGGGAAGATCCCACATGCTGCAGAGCAACTAAGCCCGTGCACCACATCTACTGAGACTGCGTTCTTGAGCCCGCGAGCCACAAATACTGAGCCCGTGTGCCGCAACTACTGCGGCCCGCGTGCCTAGAGCCTGTGCTCCGCAACAAAGAGAAGCCACCGCAATGAGAAGCCCGCACACCACAAGAAAGAGTAGCCTCCACTTGCCGCAACTAGAGAAAGCCCGCGCACAGCAATGAAGACCCAACGCAGCCAATAAATAAATTTATTTTAAAAAAAAAAAGAAAGAAAAGAAAAGAGAAAAATACATAGGTATAAGTGGATCAATGGTGGTGAAAGAGACACATATGCATGGCCCCTAAACTGCATACTTGGGCTTCTCAAATGTTCTAGGGCCAAACTGAAGAAGACCTAGAAGTGGCAGTAACAACAGTGTAAACATCTGGATGCATTGTTCTTTTTCACTTGCCTCATTTGCTTTTTTGGTTTTATTGCTGGTGTTTTCTTTCCTTTTTAGAAACATGCCTGAGTTTGTATGGAACATTTAAATAGCATATCAAAACAGACTTCTACCTCTCTAGAAGTCAACTTTTTAAAACAGAAAAGAAAGAATCCTAATCATTATGCCTTCCCCAAACAGACTCAGCAGAAAAACACCAAGCTCTATTTATATATTCTTTAACCACAGTGCTTTGATTCAGATTCTCAGTGTTGGACTGATGTCAGGGCTTTATAGCCTAGTGCATCTTTTAGTACCAATGAATACAATGTAAAAGAAAGCTAAGTAAAATCAGTGAGGCATTAAAACTACACAGGTACTTTATAAATTATGGCCATGAAAGTAGGGAAGGGACCTCCCTGGTGGTCCAGTGGTTAAGAATCCACCTTCCAATGCAGGGGATGTGGGTTTGATCCCTGGTTGGGAAACTAAGATCCCACATGCCACGGGGCAACTAAGTCCTTGAGCCGCAACTCCTGAGCCCGCACGCCACAACTAGAGAGAAGCCCCAGTGCCGCAACTAAGACCCGATGCAGCCAAAAATAAATAAATAAATACTAAAAAAAAAAAAAAAAAAAAAAGTAGGGAAAACAGAGATCCAAGGAGGGAAAAACACAAATCACAGATCCTTAAAAAACACCAGAATCCAGTCTCACCTCATAGTGACCCTAAAATGACCCTAAAATGACTAGCAGGAAAGACTCACTGAAATGTGATCACTGGTGACATGATTCCTTGCCACAAATCGGGATCTTGTTACTACAACTGATCCTTTTCCACTGTAGGTTCCCAGAAGGATTCTGCTATGGGGTATCAGCATTCCCATCTGAATTCCCCATGTACTGATTCATTTGGTTTTCCGCCATACCTTTATGTGGGGGAAGAGATTCTTTGTTCTTTTTCAGACTAGTAAGGTCGTTTGAGATGGAGATATCTCAGTTTTCAGAACCTTTCAATCATTTCTTTCCTTCTAGACAATAATGTCCTTATCCTAGGCCTTGTTATAGAGAAACCTACCCTCTCTGTTCTGTTGGATACTATTTTCTCTGTCCTGTTACATCAGCTTTGCCGGTGTAGGCGAGGGATATCTGTTACCATGGCTGACGATCAGGTTACCGAGGCAATTATGTATTAGCAATTATGAGTAGGATGGAAAAGAGTCTGTGAATTCACAGGCTTGTCTTCCTGTGAATTTTTTTCAGTTGGTATCTGGGAAGATTTGGAAGACAAATCAGGTTAACTCTCTGTAGTGGATCCATGGCTTTTCTGGATCTTTAGGGTTGGATAGGAAGACAAAGATCAACAACTTGCAAGAGAGGAGTGACCAGGAGGGGAATGCCAGAAGAATCCAGACTCTAACACAGTCTGAGAGGGAGAGAAACACGTTTCATTTGACCTTTACAATAAGGCGAAGGTAAGCAGAGCAAGTACTATCCCCATTGTATATATGAGAAAACCAAGGCTCAGAGAGATTAAGGGATTTATGGAGTAAGACTACTATTGGTAAAGACAGGATATGAAACCACATCTTTGACTTCAAATCTGATCCTCTTTCCAGGACTAAAATGTCCAGACTTAAACTCAAGGAGAAGATGTCGGTTAAGAAAGATCTTTTTGCAAGAAGCCAGCACACTTTTATGCCATGTTCACAGAGGACAGAGATCCAGCACAGCACCATAATTGGTGTCTATTTGTTAAATCCATTCATTAACCTGTCAAATATTTTCTTTTCCTTTTTTTTTCTTTTTTAACATTTATTTATTTGGCTGTGCTGGGTCTTAGTTACAGCACGTGAGATCTTTTTTTACTTGTGGCACATGGGATCTAGTTCACTGTCCAGGGATCGAACCCAGGCCCCCTGCACTGGGAACGTGGAGTCTTAACCACTGGACCACCAGGGAAGTCCCAACCTGTCAAATATTTTCTGAGGGCCTACTATGTGCCAGGCATTGCTTCAGGTTCTGGGAATATAATGGCAAACAAAATGGACAAAGTCTCCACCCTAATGGAGCTTACATTCCCAGCCAGGGAGGCAGAAAGTAAATCAACAAACAGATATGTGCTAACAGGTAGTGCTAAGTGTCACAAAGAAAAATGAAGCAAACTAAAATTAGAGAATGACCAGGACAGAACAAAAATTTTTATACAAAGTATTCAGGAATACCTGACTGTTGAGAAGTCAGGTGAAGTGAGGTGATAAGACATATAAATGTCTTGGGGAAGAGTGATCCAAGCTAATAAAGCACACATACTCTGGGTGAAAGCAGGTCAGTGTTTAATGGAGTGAGATGAGGCCAGTGCAGCTGAGCAGAGTGCATGAGCTGGAGACAGTGGAAGATGAGGGCCCAGACAGGCCCATGGGGATGAGTGATGGTGAAAATGGTGCATCTCCCACAGAGGACCTGTCACCAAGTAAGACTCTTGCTCCCTTGGGGCTGGCAAGGTGAGTTACATCGCTGTGCTATCACTTGGACCACTGATGGAATCAATTACCTAATTCCATTTACTTCAAACCAAGCTTAACACAAAATGCAACAGCTACAAAGGCAGGTGTTCAATGAGCTAATACTTTTTTCTAAATATTTTTAAAATATTTATTTATTTTTGGCTGTGTTGGGTCTTTGTTGCTGCACATAGGCTTTCTCTAGTTGCGGCGAGCAGGGGCTACTCTTTGTTGTGGTCCGTGGGCTTCTCATTGCGGAATACAGGCTCTAGGCGTGCAGGCTTCAGTAGTTGTGGCGCACAGGGTTAGTTCCTCTGAGGCCTGTGGGATGTTCCCGGACCCGTGCTTGAACCCATTTCCCCTGCACTGGCAGGTGGATTTTTAACCACTGTGCCACCAGGGAAGTCCCCTCAATGAGCTAATACTTCTTTAACACAAGTTTAGGATTAGTAACTAAAATCCAATGGGTGTGTCTGGCTAAGAGAATTCATAAATCACACCATCACCTTATTTCTATAAGGTATATGTGCAATTTGGAGCAATTTTTATATCCACGGTTCATCCTGTCTCGTCCCTCTGCATACCGCAGGAGAGAAGTATTATTACTAGTAATAATTAGCAATAGTTAGAGAGGTAGGTACTGTCATCCTCTTTATATAATTACTTTGAGGCCAAGAGAGGGTATGGAACCCAATGACAGAACTGTGGCTAGAACTTAAGTTTACTGACTCCTGATGCTATAATAGCCCATAAGAACCCTAATTTCAAAGATTTCTGGAGTTAAAACAGGTAATCCTTTACAGATATGTGTGAAATCAATACTAACATACTAGATTGGATAAATACAGGCATCGTTGGATTTAGTCAATGCCCATCAGTCCACCTGTATCAATCAGGGTCCAATCAGGAAGGAAGAAATGAAAATAAAGTTATTTTAACAGGGGAATGTAGTATAGGAGATAATTAATAACACAGGCATTAGTGGACTAAAAAAGCAAACAGGGAACACTTTTTGCAGGATAACTACCTAGGGCCGGAGAAGAAAAGGAAGAGGCTGGTGTTACCTCAAGGAGCTGGGACTCAGACCTCAAAAAGGGAGTGCTGTCAGCTGGTACTGGTACCTTTGGAGCTAGGATGAAGAACCCATGAGGGAGTCAATAAGGCAGGAGGAAAGATGTACTCCTTGCTGTTTGCATCACCCCAGCAATGGTTCTTCACCCTGGTTGCAATTTCTGGTTTTCTGCCACTCCTAGAACAAGGCTCACCATGCCTCCTACTGGCAGAATCTAACAGGGAGCCAGTAGGCAGAGGAAAATGTGGTTTTCAGTATCTCAGCATGAGCATCACAAAGGAGAGTATAGGAGGGTAGGTTTGGAGCTGAGCAAGACCTAATAACCAGCACAGCATCTGACAGTAAGAGTAGCTGTAAATTTAACCACTGCCATTGTTTCCACAGTGCCTTGACTTGCAACATTTTTCTCATCAAGGATTCTACAGTATTTGATAGTCTGCTGGAATTTTATTTGGCTCCTGTTTGTTTTCATATCTTTTATTCTCTAGAGTCATACTCTTCTTTTTTCTTTTTTTTTGCTGTGCCATGTGGCTTGCAGGGTATTAGCTCCCTGACCAGGAATCAAACCCAGCTCCCGGCAGTGAAAGCACAGAGTCCTAACCACTGGACCACCAGGGAATTCCCTAGAGTCATATTCTTTTACTGAAGGTTAATTTCCTAGTTTATACCAGTGTCCACTTTACCATATACTTGTCATCATTGGGGTTTCCCATTTTTTCTTTTTAAGCTGATAGTACTCTTTGACACCAGTCTTTGGGTCTCCAGCAAAGTATAATCA